TCTCAGGAGGGATTTTGTTCCACTCCTCTTTGCAGATCTTCTCCAAGTCATTAAGGTTTTGAGGCTGACGTTTGGCAAATCGAACCTTCAGCTCCCTCCACAGATTTTCTATGGGATTAAGGTCTGGAGACTGGCTAGGCCACTCCAGGACCTTAATGTCCTTCTTCTTGAGCCACTCCTTTGTTGCCTTGGCCGTGTGCCTTGGGTCATTGTCATGCTGGAATACCCATCCACGACCCATTTTCAATGCCCTAGCTGAGGGAAGGAGGTTCTCACCCAAGATTTGACGGTACATGGCCCCATCCATCGTCCCTATGATGCGGTGAGGTTGTCCTGTCCCCTTAGCAGAAAAACACCCCCAAAGCATAATGTTTCCACCTCCATGTTTGACGGTGGGGATGGTGTTCTTGGGGTCATAGGCAGCATTCCTCCTCCTCCAAACACGGCGAGTTGAGTTGATGCCAAAGAGCTCCATTTTGGTCTCATCTGACCACAACACTTTCATCCAGCCCTGTATATGTGCTTTCTTGAGCAGGGGGACCTTGCGGGCGCTGCAGGATTTCAGTCCTTCACGGCGTAGTGTGTTACCAATTGTTTTCTTGGTGACTATGGTCCCAGCTGCCTTGAGATCATTGACAAGATCCTCCCATGTAGTTCTGGGCTGATTCCTCACCGTTCTCATGATCATTGCAACTCCACGAGGTGAGATCTTGCATGGAGCCCCAGGCCGAGGGAGATTGACAGTTATTTTGTGTTTCTTCCATTTGCGAATAATCGCACCAACTGTTGTCACCTTCTCACCAAGCTGCTTGGCGATGGTCTTGTAGCCCATTCCAGCCTTGTGTAGGTCTACAATCTTGTCACTGACATCCTTGGAGAGCTCTTTAGTCTTGGCCATGGTGGAGAGTTTGGAATCTGATTGATTGATTGCTTCTGTGGACAGATGTCTTTTATACAGGTAACAAGCTGAGATTAGGAGCACTCCCTTTAAGAGTGTGCTCCTAATCTCAGCTCGTTACCTGAATAAAAGACAACTGGGAGCCAGAAATCTTTGTGATTGAGAGGGGGTCAAATACTTATTTCCCTCATTAAAATGCAAATCAATTTATAACATTTTTGACATGCGTTTTTCTGGATTTTGTTGTTGTTATTCTGTCTCTCACTGTTCAAATAAACCTACCATTAAAATTATAGACTGATCATTTCTTTGTCAGTGGGCAAACGTACAAAATCAGCAGGGGACCAAATACTTTTTTCCCTCACTGTACATATACACATACATACAAATACATATACATACAGTTGAAGTCGGAAGTTTACATTCACCTTAGCCAAATATATTTAAACTCAGTTTTTCACAATTCCTGACATTTAATCCTAGTAACAATTCCTTGTCTTAGGTCAGTTAGGATCACCACTTTATTTTAAGAATGTAAAATGTCAGAATAATAGTAGAGAGTGATTTATTTCAGCTTTTATTTCTTTCATCACATTCCCAGTGGGTCAGAATGCCAAAACTATAGTTTGTTAACAAGAAATTTGTGGAGTGGTTGAAAAACGAGTTTTAATGACTCCAACCTAAGTGTATGTAAACTTCCGACTTCAACTGTACATATATATACATATCCTTTAAAAAAAAAATATTACCCTTTATTTCTTTCCAACCCCACTACCCCTTCCCTAATTGGAGTAAACTAGTGAACAACAATGCTTAGGCCTCTACTTCCAGCTTATACATACCATATACATTTTATGGATCAATTTTGCAATAATTATATATTTTTTGTTTTTACTCCTGAACTTCCTCAACCTCTCCGATCATTTTCATGATGTCCATCCGGTTTGCTTCTATATGCCATATCTTTCTAACTGTGCTCTTTCACAAAAGCTCTCAACCTATAACCTATATACTTATTATGGACACAGTATGCTTTACATTAGTTATCTTGTTGTTATTAGTTTTTGTTAGTTGTTATTAGTCCCATTAGTCCCATCCTTCAACTCCATTCAACCCCTCCCATCTATCTCTTAACACCATCCATATAGGATTTCTATTTGCCATATATTTTTCAACTGTACTGTGATGTTTTATGTTATTTATTTTTATTTATTATTTATTATGTTTTACAAAAGTTCTGAACCCTTCTATTCTCATTGATTCTACAGATTGTAAATTGAAAATAAACATTTTTGCTAAAATTATTATTATATTATTGATCGATTGACTATGACTTTTCAGATCACCCAGTAGTGCTATCTGCAGTGTTAGCTCCAGGTAAATATTGCAATCCTTTAGCCATTCCTGGACCTGTGTCCAAAAACAAGCTACAAATGGACTGTACCAAAACAAATGATCTAATGATTCTGTCTCTTCGCAGCAAAATCTGCAGAGCTGGGAAGATTGTATCCCCCATATAAATAACATTCTATTGGTAGCAAGAATTTTGTATAATAATTGAAATTGAAAAATTATAAGTTTCGAATCCGGCGTCGTTTTGCGTATCAGTTCATAAACACTATGCCATGGAATCGGTTCGTCAAAAATCTCTTCCCAACAATTTTGCAATCTGTATGGGACGGCTGTCAATCCTTTGGTCCTTAAATGAAACTGGTATACTTTTTTATTTATCACAATTTTCTTTAACCAATTATGTTCTTTAATGCAGGGCCGACAGACAAGTTCCTTACTTTTTCCCCCTTCCACTTTCCTCTTTAATTTTTGTGGTAATGCTGCAATTTTTTGGTTGTAATTTTGGGTAGAGCAGACATTTCCATATGTTTTTGTTAGCTGCATGTGTGACATAACACCACCAGTCCTACCTATGATATCATTTACGAAGATTATACCTTTTTTAAACATTTTTTCAAAGAATAATGTTTTTTTATCAATTAGTATATTTGAGTTTTACCACAATATTTGTTGCATTATTTGTTCTGTAGTTTCTGGAGGATTAAATTGAAATTGCAACCAACATTCTATGGCTTGTTTTAGAAATAGTGATATTTGGGAGATTATTTCCTTTTCAAATAACTGAAAGTGAGAGGTTGTAATCTGAATAAAGGGAAAAGGGCCATTCTTGAACATAGGGTGAGACAATCTTACTAATTTGCTAGAGAACCAGTTCCGATTTAAGTATAACTTTTGTATGACTGAAGCTTTTAGTGAGAGGTCTAATGCTTTAATATTTAATCATTTCTATCCTCCGAATTCATATTCATTATATAAATAGGCCTGTTTAATTTTGTCTGGCTTGCCGTTCCAAATAAAATTGAATAATTATTTCGCATATAATTTCAAAAACTGTTCGCTAGGCGTAGGCAAGACCATAAGCAAATAGGTAAACTGGGATAATACAAAGAGTTAATCAGGGTGATTTTTCCACAAATTGACAGGTATTTACCTTTCCATGGTAGCAAGATCTTATCTATTTTTGCTAACTTTCTATTAAAATGTATTGGAGTGAGATCATTTATTTCATTTGGGATATGTATTCCGAGTATATCCACATCACCATCAGACCATTTTATTGGTAAACTACATGGTAATGTAAAATTTTTATTTTTTTGTGATCCAATACGTAATATAGTACATTTATCATAATTTGGTTGTAATCCAGAGAGGTTAGAAAATGTATCTAGATCCTCTATGAGGCTGTGGAGGGATTCAAGTTGTGGATTTAAAAGAAAACATGAATCATCAGCGTACAATGATAACTTTGTTTTTAAGCCCTGGATTTCTAATCCCTTGATATTATTGTTGGATCTGATTTTAATAGCTAACATTTCGATGGCCATAATAAATAGATATGCCGATAGTGGACAGGAAAAACTCACATAGTCAGTTCTCTATCAGATATAGAGGTGCCATACTCTGGAATTCTTATCTTCACATTGCCAAAATATCATCATCCATCAATAACTTCAAGCGAAGACTGGGGGTCAGCCTGATGAACCAAACTACTCAGTAATCTCCTCCATATAGCCTAACTCTCAGACACTCACATGCACACACACATTTAAACAAAACAAATACACTACCAGTCAAAAGTTTGGACACACCTACTCATTCAAGGGTTTTTCTTTCTTTCTTTTTCTACATTGTAGAATAATAGTGAAGACATCAAAACTATGACATAACACATATGGAATCATGTAGTAACCCAAAAAGTGTTAAACAAATGAAAATATATTTTATATTTGAGATTCTTCAAATAGCCACCCTTTGCCTTGATGACAGCTTTGCACACTCTTGGCATATGTGTTATTTAATAGTTTTGATGGCTTCACTATTATTCTACAATAAGTAGGTGTGTCCAAACTTTTGACTGGTACTGTATATATATATATTCGTGATTACTGATCAATTCATTTATAGTTAGTAGGTTTTGTTATCTGTTTTAACAAACCTTTTTTATTTATTTTACTTATGTATTGTATATATATATATATATTTTTATCTGTATTGTTGTCTATCTCTTGTACCAAAAGTGCTGACATTTCTAAACAGTTTACCGGATATGGATGAAAATAATAAGCTGACAGTCTGCACTTTAACCTCATATTCATTGTTTGATTTCAAATCCAAACTTTTGGAGTATAGAGTCAAAAGAAGACAAAATGCTTCAACCAATCACGTCAATGTGGAGCTATATGGAGCCCTCCGCATTGTTACAACATTTGAGAGGCACATGGCGATGCGGTATGGAGCTCGATTTGGCCTCTGCATGCCTCCGGAGGCTCCGCAATTGCGTCACAACCTCCATATGAAGCCTCCGACCACATTATCGGATCAAGCATAAGTTGGCTTTTAACCAGACAGCTAGAGGCACTTGGAAAAGGACAATTGATGATCCTCATTCCATCCTAACCCAGCTGGTCAAGAGGCTCCCCCAGATTGAGGACAGCTATGAGTCTAAAGCAAACATAATCAGATCAGAGATACCTAATACACAAATAAGTTTTGCAATGACTGCTCTGTCCATTTATGGCTTACTCCACTTATGTCCTCAGGCAAAAAGAGGAAGACACGAGGAGATCATTTCAAATTGAGATTTCAGAAAAACTTCCAGGCTCTACTGGAGGAAGAGGTGAGGTCCATAAGTCCAGCCCTGCGGCTCTGCTTTCCTCCCCTCTCTTTAATCATCTGCTCCTTCTCTGTTTCCTTCCATCTCCAGCTGCTCCCTATAGGAACTGAGTCGGAATGAGGGACCCGACTGCCCCGAGCCCTCCAAACTGCCCCAGCGCCACTTCTGTGCGGTGTGTGGTTTTCCGTCTCCGTACACCTGCATTTCCTGTGGGGCACGCTACTTCTGTGTCCACTGCCTGGGCACGCATCATGAGACCATGTACAGCACTGGCACTGCAGAGGGTGTACCTGATCTCTTCTCTTTTGGTTGAATGTTGTTAGTGTTGTGATGGGTAGAACTTGTGAGTTTCTCCACTCATAATTTAGCAATGACTCGCACTCTCCCTCCTCTCACAGGTGTCTGAAGTGGACTGTGTGATGCTCTCTGTTGGTGCATGTGAATGGCTGCCTCATTCCATTGCTTGATCCCATGTCCTATCATCAACTGAAGGACTGGTTTCTTTGTGCAGCATCATGTCTGAATGAACGTTATGACTCCCTTACAGTCAGTCTGAATGAGCCAAATGACTCCCTTACAGTCAGTCAATGAGCTACAGTGCCCTCCGTAATTATTGGGACAGTGAAGCATTTGTTCTTCTTTTGACTCTATCCTCCACAAGTTTGTATTTGAAATCAAACAATGACTATGAGGTTAAAGTGCAGACTGTCAGCTTCAATTATTTTAATATTGGGTGAACCGTTTAGAAATTACAGCACTTTTGATACATAGTCCCCCCATTTTAGAGGAGCAAAAGTATTGGGACAAATTCACCTATGTGTATTAATGTAGTAAAAAGTGAAGTATTTGGTCCCATATTCATAGCATGCAATGACTACATCAAGCTTGTGATTCTACAAATTTGTTGGATGCATTTGCTCTTTGTTTTGGTTGTGTTTCAGATTATTTTGTGCCCAATAGAAATTAATGGTAAATAATGTATTGTGTCATTTTGGAGTCACTTTTATAGTAAATAAGAATAGAATATGTTTCTAAACACTTTTACATTCATGTGAAAGCTACAATGATTACGGATAATCCTGAATTAATTGTGAATAATGATGAGTGAGAAAGTTAGACGCACAAATAACATACCCCCAAGACATGCTAACCTGTATGATATTTGTGCGTCTGTAACTTTCTCACTCATCATATTCACGATTCATTCAGGATTACCCGTAATCATGTTAGCATCCACATGAATGTAAAAGTGTATGCAATTTTTCTTTATAAATCCTAAATCACACAATCAATCTCTGTTTGTTATGAAATGGAGAGTATTTTAAAGGCGTCCGCATGCTTCTCAGCCGAAACAGTTCGGTAGAGTTTGTGCATATATTACGACAACATTTTGTGACGTTTTTGTTCGCTTTGGACTTCGGTGAGGGTTTTTTCGGCTGTCCGGGACCACAAATGTTTTTCTGGAGGCAAGCCGAAGTTCGGAGCCGAAGTCTACGCCCCTTCGTCTGTGATTTGTCATTGAACAGTAGGGATTGTTTAATAAAGTCTATGTTGTCATTTAACGAGAGACGACTCATTTTCATGCACATTTTTTCATTGAAAAATACTGCACCAAACATCTTAGTTAGATGTAAAATTGTGCGACTAAGATCTCTCTGGCAAAAACGTCAAAATTAATGACAGAATTCTTCAGTTATCTAATTCTGACTTTTTACTTGCTACGGCGAAGGTATTTTAATGGAGTATGCGAGCACACTCATTCGGTTTGGCTAGATGCCAGCCGAACTGAAGCATGCTGACGCCTTTAGAAGGCACCATGCTGTCCAGTTTATGGAGGTTAAACCGCCTTGGGTGACTCAGCTCCTGCAGGGCCTTCCACTCGTCCAGACATCTCCATGGCAACCTGTACCACCACCTCCTCCTCCACCTCTGATGGTCTGTGATGAATTGGAGGGATATATAATACACACATTACCACTAATAAAAGTATAATTATCCACCAGTTGCACTGTGCATCTTCCCAGTATCAATCAATGTTATTACCCCCAAAAGTTGTTGAGTTGTGGTGTGTGTTGTACTCAACAGCTTTTGGGGGTAATAACATTGAGATGTGGGATGTTGGACGAGTGGAAGGTGTCAGCATGCTTCAGTTCGGCTGGCGGCTAGCTAAAGTCGTAGCCAGTATACACTTTCTCAAAATAGTCAGAATTAATCTATGATAACTCAAGAAATCTGTCATTAATTTGACGTTTTTGCCAAGGAGATCTTAGTCGTGCATTTTACATCTAAGATGTTTGGTGCAGTATTTCTCAATGAAAAAATGTGCATGAAAACAAGTCGTCTCTCACTGAATGACAACAAAGATTTTACTGAAGAATCCCTACTGTTGACTAATCACCGACGAAGGGGCGTAGACTTTGGCTACCGACTTCGGCTTGCCTCCAGAAAATGTTTTGTGTACCCGAAAAACCGGGAAAAAAACTTACCGAAGTCCAAAATGAACAAAACATCAAAATGTCATCTTAATATATGCACACACTCTTCCAAACTGTTTCGGCTGGGAAGCATGCGGGCGCCTTTAGAGGTGCTCAGATTCATGGTTAAATTATTGCTACATTAAAGCACATGCACTGTTCCCTTATATTAGCCAGGCAACTTGGTGGATCCAGTGATCAATGATTGGGACATCGCTGGATCCTGAGTTGGAATACGTTCATTCAAGTAGTCTCACTGTGGAGATTGGTTGGCTACAGTATCTGACTGATAGGCAAAGAAGGACACCATGACAAATCACGTCATTCACATAGTCCTTGTGGGAGCAGTCTAAATGACTGGCCTATATGATCCGCAGCTCGTGGCTGTCTGAGAGTCCACAGCTGGCCTTGTGTCCATGGAAGAGCTTGGCCAGGGCCTCCATGTAGAGGCCATGGTAGTGATCCACTTCCTCCTGAGTGGGGGATGGCCGCTTTGGCACTGGGATAGGACTACCCACTGGAGAGGAATACACAAATGGGTGAAGCAGAGTGAGAAACGTAACACTATGTTGCTGTACATACTGTATCACAAAGAGAAAGAGCATTTGGTCAAAGCTACACAAGCTGTGTTCTACCATCAGTCACTCAAAGCAGTTTTCTAATCTAGTGAATTACTAAAGTGACTTTAAAACTCACTAAAAGTTACTAAAACACTTCTGAAGCCACTACTTTTGCACACTACTGTGTAACAGAAAAAAGCTATACCTCAGTTACCGATGGCGACTCGAAGAGATTGTGGATCATAAGACAAATGTTGTGCATTTTCAAAATTACAAGTTAATCAGTAAATTAAGCAAGGCATTTCGTTGACATAGTCACTGACCGACAATGGTGACAGGGCAGTGGTAAGGCATCCAGAACCAGCATTCACCTACGAACAGACAGGGGGCAAAGCCCATGAGCTTCTTAAAGAGTTGCTGCAACCTCCAGCCCACACTGTCCTGTGAGAAGATCACCTGGCGGAAGATATTGTTCTCCCCATACGAGTAGACGGGCACCAGGTCAGCCCTGAGGAACAATGAGAGAGATGAGAACTGACCCACTGGGTTGTTTCCTAATAAATGTTTTTTTTAAAGTATTTCTTAAACACAGCCAAAAGCAGTTAGCCCTGTGGATCTAGGGCTAGCCCTCATTGATCCCTGTGGATCCAGGGATCAATGATCTAGCTATGTGATGTATGGTTGTATTTTTTTTATAACTACAACACTGCTTTCTTGTTCATTTGTGGCCTCTCACTACTGGTCCATCCATAAGATAGATAACTCACCCAAACTCCAGGGCCACCCGGACGAAGCCTTTCCTCTGCTTCATAAACACAGTATTGACCCCAGGCAGACTCAGCAGAGACTCAGCAGCGCCCCCTATCACAATCACTACCGCATTACCTTTCCCACTTTTAGACAGAAGGTGCTCTAGACTGGGCTTGCTGACTGGATAACAACCTGATGAGAGGAATAACAGAGAGATAGAGACAGAGATGGAGAGAAAGCAAGACTAATTTATTGAACAGAGGCAAGTAGAAGGATTTTGTGTTACATTAAGGGAGGAATTCATGGTAATTGATTGGCAACAACACAACATCCCTTTTCCTCACAAAAAACATTTACATCTCCTTACAATATCCACTACTACAGCTTCCAGAGAGCTAAACTTCCCTGGAAGCCATATATACCTATGGCCATGGCATATTCCCTGTAGAGGGGGACCTTGAAGATGCCACCTAGTATGCACAGACAGGAGCGCACCCCAGGGAAGAGGTCCATAAAGCCACAGGCCTCAGTGCTGAAAGAGGTAAAGGCTCCCATACTCATGACCCCATGAGGATGACACCCTAAGATGTAGTTCTTGTTTGGGTTCAACTCCGCTGTCTTCACCAACTGAACAAAGGCAGGGAGAGAGATACAGATTGGAGGAGAGAAACAGGGACTTATTCATGTGTAGAAACAATGTGTTCAATGCTTTAAAAAGAAAAGACGGGTTTTTTAAATTATTAAGACAAAAAACAAAACAATAATTCCGGTCAATTGACAAAGCTTGTCATCATCAACATACCTTCATTGGGAAGTAATCCCTAACGTGCTTCCACATTTTCCAGTTTCTCACAAATGCAATTCTCCTGCCCCCTGGTGGTGACAGATAAGAACTTTCACACAAGCAAATTAAGTTGCACACATTCAGGAATTCGATTTTTTCTTTACTTGAGAGTTAAAAGAGACCTTAAAAGAGATTAGTATTACTTGAAAAATTGACAACATTGAAGAATTCAGGGCAACATTCAGTATGTCAGTACCTCTTTCAGGTGTGTGCCAGTCCTTCAACTGCCATATGAAGTAGAGAGCAGGCAGTGGCCACAGAGAGGTAAACATAAGGTACACCATCAACCCAATACAAGCCAGACCTGAGGAATAGGGAATGGTGAGTGGATCCACAGGGAGGGATGCAAAATATGACACATACATTTTGCTCAATGCCAGTCAGCAGGTTTCTCTCTCACACACAAATGTGCAAGCGTACACACACACATGCAGATGTGGGGTCTCACCTAATAAGAGGAAGGTCAGTATCCATTGCAGGACACTGATATTCTCTAGGAAATCCTTCAATCGAGTCTTTTCCTGCTTCATCCCTGCAACCTAAAGAGCAGAAAGAGATACAGTTCAATATGATCAGGTATTCCCATCTCTGTCAGCAATTTGCGTGTTTCAAATTAGATTGTCTTGGGGACATGTAGGCCTTAAGGCAAGGCTACTACACTTGTTGGAGACTTGAGATGACAAATCAAATCAAATGCAGTGGTATTGTCTACATCACTAATCTAAATGGAATTTTACTTGTGACCTTAATTTTGGTGATAGCACTAATGTCACAGCAGCGATAGAAGTGGAAAATGCATGGCATGAGCTCGCACTTTTGCAGTTGAAAAACAAGTAGAGCATGACAATTATCAATTGTAGTTATATTGAGAAAAAAAGGAAAAGTGAGAGAATTATTTATATTTATTTGGAATAGGACTAGGATTGTCTACAAGCCTTTCTAAACCATCAAACTTTTATAAGCTGTGCACCAATATATAATTAGGTATAGCCTACAGAATATCAATCAAAAGATCAGGGCAATGTTTTAAATGTAAAATCGATAATCCACCAAAAAGTCTACTTGACAAACTAGAATGCATTTAGCCAAGCTGGTTAAATTACATTTTATCGGAAAAGGAGTTGATTCTTGTTACCTTTTCTGTAATTTCCCCTCAATTGTTCACAGGGCGACTGTCCGGAGTAGCCTGGTAGACCTAAACCCTGCATGGACGTAGGCTACTTCGATCACAGTTCAAGTTGGGCTGCAGATACTGCAAATAACAATCACTTCCACTCCCCCAACACCTTGACACACTAACGAGCTATCATTAGTGTGTCTAATATGTTGAACCATTGACAGAAAAACAAGTTACTATATTAACAATAATATTATCGTTAATAGTAACTCAAGATAATCTATTTACGAGAACACATCTCGGAGTGTAAGATTATGTTCCTCTGTGAGTTTCCGGATCAACAGTCAAACCGCAGATAGAACATTGAGACAGATATTTCACTGGATGTATAAATATGAAGCATCCGCTTTGCGTTTCCGCTAGAGGAAGCCCAGTTGCCGGCAGTGGGAGAAGATAGAGTGAGATGGATTTTGGCCAACATTCTGCAAATTTTCTCATCGATTAAACATTTGATCTCAATACAGTTTTCTGTTCCCAAAACCAGAATATGTTACGAACAGAGTGGACTAAGTTTTTTAGACTTTACCTTTTGCCAGAGTTTTAAAAAATTGCGTTGTTTAGGAGTGCAAAGGCAAATTGAGTTATTGCAAACGCGCATTTCACAGAGTAGTTGTTCCCTAACGGATATATGCAAATATTTGCTAGAACACGCCAATAGGACCTCGCTAGCTCGTGCTTGGCTCTGCCCACTATGACTCATTTGTTCACATTTGAAACGACGGGTTGTGGTCTATCTTGGTTTAGCTATAAAGAAATCTTTGGTCAAACGAAAGACTGCAGCCTGGCTGCTTCTTCTTCTTCGTCTTCTTCTTCGGTGGAGTTTAACGGCGGTTGGCATCCAATTTGTTGCATTACCGCCCCCAATTGGACTATAGTATAAATCCATTATAATTTATGATACAAAATGGCAAAAAAGGAAAATAAAAAAAACACCTTTCCAACTAACCCTACACTCATTAAAAACCCACTATCCCATTCCACTACTTTGACCCTATCTGCTTCTGCACCATGCCAACGGCCTGGGAGGACAGAACACCACCACTCAACACACCCTGTAACTCGTCAAGTATGTCTCTGCAGCTGCCCCCACAACATCTATTTTCTGTTATTTACGTTACATTTCAGCGGTACAGTTTATAGCCATTGCTATGAACGATAAGAAGCCAACCTTACTGAAGCATATATCACTTGTTTGCCTATCCCTATGTGCTGGCACAGATCTACTACTCACAGGGATCCTCTCAGGATCCACCCTTGACCCATCCTCCTCTACTTTCTTCACTGCCTCAGCATAATACACATTCTGCACTACTCTGACTCTGGCCACTTCAACCTGCCTCTCACACCGGACACTTCTGATCCCCAGCAACATAGGCACCCCTACAGTTGACACACACAACTCTTTCCACTGAAACTACATAATCCTCTGTCCCATGCCCTCCTGCACACTTCCCACATCTTGGAATCTCCCTCCTACACACTGCTGCGACATGACCATAAACGTTGCGCCTGAAACACTGCAGTGGATTTAGCAAAAAAGCTCTAACAGGATAACTGATATATCCTAACATGACTTTGTTTGGTAAAGACTGATTCAAAACTCAAAAGGACAGACTGTGACAACTCTGCTTCACCACACTCCCCACCAGGTCTGCGTCGTACCAAACGACAGGCGTCACAAACACCAGGAATCTTCTACTTCAATTGCTCCACCTCCACACTTAACGCTACCCCAGAAATCAAACCTTTCAATGGTGCCCTGTTCCTAAGAGCAAATCAAGAAATGGTACTTGACCCGAGTTGCGTGGAACGGAGTGCCCACTCCCTCTTGGCGGAAGAAACACAGAGAAACATCACAAGTCCACTTCGGGTTACCTTCACCGATTTAACAGTACCTAACATCTTTTCCACCCAACCTGATACCACATATGGATCAGCCAAAAGGCCTGGATCCACTTTCTCCAAGAATCTCACTCCCACTATGCCAAACTCATCTTTATCATGACCATGTCCATCGATGCAAGACTCACCACACCTTCCACCTCACTTAAATCTCCCTCATTCACTTTAATTTCACCTCCAGAACTCGGTCTGGCAGAAATATGACTCTGTTTGTACTTGACACCAGTCTTCTTCGACACACCATCTCCCTTTTAATCACCATCTTCATCAAATTCAGATTCAACCTTCTTCTTCCTCTTTCTCCTCCTCCATTCCTCCTCCGAAATCCACCTTTCCTTGTCCCTGTCCCAATATTCCTCTTCTCTCGGCTTTGCTATCGGCCCGGTGGCATCCCGACTTAACTCCATCTCATGATCGTCCTGATCACCTCGGAAATGTGTATTCTCCGGGCGCCGACATTTTGAGAGCATGAGAAGTGTCACAACTCCTTCATTCACCAACCTCAGTCAACGACGGCCCCAAAACCACAGCCTGTCGTTTCCAATGGGAGCAAAATAATCATAGTGGGCAGAACAAGCACGGAGGTGGGCAGAGCCAAGCACGAGCCAGCGAGATCCTATTGGTGTGTTTTAGCATTTATTTGCATATTTCTATTAGGGAATGCCTACTCTATGAAGTGCGCATTTGCAATAACTCAATTCGCCCTTGCACTCCTTCTAATTTTCAGAAACTTTGGCAAAGGGTAAAATCTACAAAACTTAGTCCACTCTGTTCGTAACAGATTCTAGTTTTGGGAACAGAAAACTGGATTGAGATCAAATGTTTCATCGATGAGAACATTTGCAGAATGTTGGCCAAAATCCATCTCACTCAATCTTCTCCCACTGCTGGCCACTGGGCTTCCTCTCATCACCATATTTGGCTCAGATTTATACATCCGGTGAAATATCTGGCTCATTATTCTATCTGTGTCTATACTACTCAGTCTAAACTCTAGAGTCTAGACCACAGGTGTCAGACTAATTCCACGGAGGGCTGAGTGTCTGCGGGTTTTCGCTCCCCCCTTGTACTTGATTAATGAATTAAGGTCACACCTGGTTGTCTTGGGCTTCGTTGAAAGGAAAAACCAAAATCCTGCAGACACTAGGCCCTCCATGGAATGAGTTTGACACCCCTGGTCTAGACTGTCAAGTGACAGCAAAGTTGGTGGATAACTAAAGATAGTTCACTCAGGCCTTTTACTATTGGAAAAAATTGTAAGTCCTGGTCTATTTAACTGCGTGTCTCCCATAGACACCAATGCAATAGCAGCTCAGACTGGTCTACTTTGTTCATGGACTTTCATTGAACCAGAAAACAAAACAAAAAAATAGCGAATGGGGTGTCTCGCTTCCTCTTCCGTCTCTGGTGACAGCCAATGCATGGAGTGCTTGGCAAGTTTCGGGAAATCATGTCAATTGCAATGTTTCAATCCCAAGTATGTACCAGCGTGGACGCGCATTTAAATCTTACATGAATGGATGCATTCCAGATACACATTCTGCGCAGGCCTGCGCATATTAGAAGATAATTATATTATATTAATGTGGTTCATGAGATGTAAAAGCTTATCCAGGCATTGAAAAGCAGTGGAGGCTGCTGAGGGGAGGACGGCTCATAATAATGGCTGGAACAGCGCAAATGGAATGGCATCAAACACATGGAAACCATGTGTTTGATGTATTTGATACCATTCCACTGATTCCGCTCCAGCCATTACCATGAGCCTGTCCTCCCAACTAAGGTGCCACCAACCTCCTGTGTTGAAAAGATCTGATGTTCTATGCAGGCCTGCTCAGAATTTGTGTATCTGATCCGCTCCCTATATGTCTTCCGACTATGGCCGTGTTCAAGAGGATCAAAACTGTAATGTATCATGGGTAAATTGTGACTGACTGACTGACTGATCTACAAATAATAATGAGTAGTTATTTATGATGCAAGGTTCTTTGTAGATCAGTCAGTCGGCAGACGCCTGCACTGTTGGCTGCAATGTCGAACAAGCCCATTGTCTTTCGACTTCCAAGACCGTGGGATGAGCCCTGTAGGTCTACATACTGTAGAGACGGAAGGGCCCTTCCGAAAGTGTGTTGATCACCACATCTGGCTATACAGGGGCTGTGAAATATGAAAAGCAAGGTGTAGACTTGTCTCCAAATATGAATAAATATTAAAAGGGACTCACTATAAACTACATTATCTTGGATATGATTCTTATTAATTTGATTATTCATTATCGTCCATATGCTATCTAGAACCTAAAATGGTACTTTCCCAATAGGAGGACCCTTTGAAGAACCCGTTTTGGTTCCAGGTAGAACCCTTTTGGATTCCATGTAGAACACTCTGTGGAAAGGCTTCTACATGGAATCCAAAAGGGTTCTAACTGGAACCAAAAAGGGTTCTAACTGGAACCAAAAATG